CATAAGTCCACATAACGACTTTGTGTACCAATTTTAAGCGAAATCGGCCGACCTTCATTTCCAAGTCTGCCCCGGTCTCTCAGGCAGAAGCTCTTAATGAGAATAAGAGTATACATCCTGCTTATTGAAATATCACAGCTGAGGTTTTGGTTATCATTAAAAAGATCCTTCACCTAAAGTTACGTAAATTTTCACATGAAATGATACTTAAACCCTTGGCATGTTACATCTTACCTCTTTCTTATAACTACTTATTTCATCACTCTGTTTCTTTGCCAATGATTCAATAGTCTGTAACTGCCTCTTCAAATCTTCCCTTTCAGAATCTGCAGCAACTTTTGCATTACTCTCTCTGTTAAGAAATAAGACAAAGATGTCTATTTAAATGACATTGACATGGTTTATGCAGCCCCTCAAGTTATTTAATACACTGATGGCTCCTTGAACAGATCTGATACCATTGGTTTCTGGAAGCAGAAATTCGTTCAAGTCTTCCTGTAGTCTTTGTCTATAGCTCAATGACTGCCCTGAAATGACATTGCAACATGCACGAAATCTTTCTCACTCCAAAAAGCTTTTACATGAATTTTCTAAACCGTATAAGAGCAAACAACTGAAAGTTTCTTTTTCCCAAGACATTTCATTGGCAGTAATGTTCTGCAGGGGATTATTATTTTATCATACTGGAATGTTACTTGGTTTCATGTATGGCAGTTTTGCCAATAGGTATATTTCCGAAATAAATGTATAAGCCTACTCAATGTGACTTCTTTTTAAGGAAGACCAACCTTGTTTTACATTCTAACAGTTGCAAATTGATGTCCTCAATTTCTTTCTGCGCTTTTACCATTGCCTCTGACAGCTGTAAGACAAGCAAACAAATGTTGCAATAAACAAACTATATCATAAAAAACAACAAACAATCGTGCATTTTAGTATTGCGATGATATTGACTAACAATAACTAAATGAATATTTATCAACGAATGACAACATTTCTTTGTTGGAGAACACGCCAGTCACTCATGTATGTGCATTTAAAGCAAATCAAAGTTCTCAGATCCACTTTTCCAAGTTGTATAACGTTTCCCAGTATCTATTATTTATTTTTCCTCTTGGATGTAAACTGTTTTGAGTTTTCCCTGAACCAAAGTGGCTCTCAGGAGATGTTGCCGGGCTGAATTAATTTGTAACTAGTCTTTGGCTAGTTGGCCACTGTTTGTCTTGCGCCAGGCTGTCAAAGCGTACTTGGAAATGTGTTGCTTCTAACCTTGTTCTTTTCAGCTTGATCCTTCTGAACAGCATCCACACTTTGCTGGAGTACTTGGTTTTGTTGTGTCAAGTCGTTCATTTCCTTGATCATTTGGTCTTTCTCTAGAAGAGCGTCCTTGCTGACAACAAAAACGGTATAAAATTCAGCTACATTTGATGCTATTGGTATTTAAGCCGTTCTTTGGCCTCAAAAGCAATTGCCATAGATGTATAATTGCATGTGATTGACTCCATTATTTTGAACATTATTAGACGCTTTGCACTTTGTTAGGAAGAACTCGAAAAGGCCTTGGCATCAAACAAACGTTATTTTGTTGGCGATCAAAATCTTGCTATTCATTTGACAATTTAAATGTATCTACTCAATTCACCAAACAGAAGGCATGAATACATACACTTCACTCTTCAATTGATTGACCATTGCCTCTGCCTCTGAAGCTGACAAACTGAGCTGGCGTAGCTGTTCTTCTTTGCTGCATGCCTGAGATTTTGCAACTTCGACCTAAGATAAGATTAGAGCTGTATGGATACTTTTGTACGAAGGCATTTAAAGTGCATATGACACGAAAAATATTTTTTGCTTATTTGAAAGGCCCTTCAAAATACAGAACAATGACGTTTTTCTTTTTGAAATATCTTTTTTCGTTTTAGAAATATTGACGTTTTTCTATTATGCAAATTAGATTAGTGATGACGTCATATTGTTTGCAACTAAAAATGGTAAAATACTGAATAAACGATATCTCTAGGAATATTGAAGCAGTGTTCTTGAAACTTGGCACCCCAGATGTACATCACAAAAGAAACAAAATGACACCCTTGGTAATTATGACTATGGTAAAATCAAACTGGCACTTACCAGTCTATGTGCTTTATACAAAGCCTTAAAGAGCCAGTTCGTTTAATAAATGATTCTGAGGAAGGCAATCACAGAGTCTAATAATAGTTCAACTATTGTACAAAATGTTGTTGTTACTAGTTGAAATAGTCATGATAGAAGTTCATGGTGCTTGTATGAATATAACCAAAGAATAGATGGAAGGTGCTGAATTCATTATNNNNTTAAAAAGATATTTCAAAAAGAAAAACGCCATTCTTCTGTATTTTGAAAGGCCTTTCAAATAAGCAAAAAATATTTTTCATGTCATATGCACTTTAAGATTAGCTTTTGCGTTGTTATTGGTAGTAATGAAAGCCATATCAACTGCTTTTGGGATAGAAGTACGTGTATTAACACAAGTAATTGCACTTGACAATGTACCTCGTTTTGAAGTTTATCACAAGCAGTCTTCATCTCATTTAGCTTTGTTTCCATGTCTTGCTTCTCTTTGTCAATTTTAGTTTTTGCCTTACAAAGCACATCTAGCTCTTCCTTTGTTTTGGTGTTTTCCTGTGCAACAGTGCAAGTAGATTAATCCTGTTAATCTCTTATACATATAAGATAACTAGGCAGGCAAGTGACACGAACAAGGGAAATTAGGTATGTACTAATACTGTGTCTATTGCAAGCGGACATTCTCGTAAGCGGCTGCGGACACTTTGAGGCTTTTCCTTCGTTTTTAAGCTCCCGTAAACGGACACTTGAAAGGAAGGGCCTGACTTTGAAAGATACTCATCAACATTTGTAAACTGTAACACGGCTTTTTGTTGCAGTGAGACTGTTATGCTAGCTACAATTACGGTCTGTTATTTAATCACTGAGGGCCAGTCCTACTACGGCAGTATACAATGCTGCATACATGCAGTTATCGCCATTATCGCAATAAAACAACAACAAAAAATAATAATTTGGCGGTACTTTTGCATTCCCAATGTTAATGGTAAGCTGGGCAAGCTCCCGTAGGCGGCCACCTTTCCTTTACAACTCTAGTGGCCGCTTACGAAAACACTCACGAAAACTAAAACTCGTAAGCGGCCAGCTCCAGTTATGGACAGCGTTTTCGCGTCCCGAGGGTGTCCGCTTACGAGGGCCTAGCTGTATCTGTAAACTGATCCCACCTCGTAAAAAGTAATAATGGGAATAATTTATTGTTTAAAGTGCCACTATGATCAAATTCTCCATACCCATTTTTTTGCATTTTCGCACACAATAGGTCTTTCCTAGATTTTTTGCCAAATTTCAGTCTACTACGAACATTAGAACTCATGTCGTTTGGATCTTTATTTCCGAGAATTTACGGCCGCCATTAATTTTCCTTGTTCCAAGTCTTGGTTGAGAATTTGAGAAAATGATGTCATTTTCTCAAAAATAGCACACGGGTTGAAATTATAATAACAATTAGCACAGCAATTCGCATAAAGAGTAACAAAAACTTTGGCTCATATATTCGTGCAATTTTTTACATTAATT